AGCTCTATCTGGATCTTTTTCGGAAAGCTTGCTCGCCAACACGAGGGAATAAAATTCAACATTTTGCCTACATAAGATTGCTTTGTTACCTTGTTTCAGGATACGAATATGATTTGAAGAGGAGTGATCTTTATGGAAAGTGGGGCTGGACACTACCTTAGTCTGGGAGGTTTCCTCAACTGTACTGTGGCACATGGGATCAGTGCTCATGCAGAGTTCTTCCAAAGCAACCTGGGATGTACAGCTGGCGCCCACTAATGTAGAGAAGCGGCACAATAAAAGAAGGATACATGGGGAGAATCCAACAGCGGAAAAGTTTTGTTCTGTTGTTGGCACAGGATGTTCTGTTACCATTCTTGGGGACAGAGCTCCCCCTGCTGACTTGGGCCTTCTCCAGACTGGACAGCTTTGATTCATAGGAGGAACGCAGAGCAGCGATGTCCTCCTGCAGCTTCGCCTTGGATTCCTGCTCTGCATTGTATTCAGCCTGCAACTTGGCCAGCCTCTCCTCGTACTCCTGCAGAGACAGCAGAACACAGATCATAAATCACAGGGTCTTTATACAATGCATGCTTAAAGTTGAAGTGATAAATTGTTGTGTGGGATTGGTCCATGTTTGCCTCTTTAATCTTTTCCTTCCTTTCTTCAGTGGGGGTGGACTGTGGCCTTGAGGGCACAGCGGGGGATGACTCAGAAGACTGACCAGCCAGCAGAGCTGCATTTTAAATAAAAGTGGTTTTTTTTTTTTATAGCACTGGTAATTAAAGAAAGACAACATGCAAGAAAATAAAATATTTCTCTGCATCTAAAAGAGGCTATGTGTAGATTTAGGAATATTAAGCTAAAAAAGCATGCTGTTTTTCTATAAAAATTTACTTGAAAGGTCAGCAGTGCTCAGCTGGCCTGTGAGGAGCGCCCGCAGCTTCTTGATTTCCTCCTGATACTCTCGGAGCAGAGCATCCTTGGGGTCCTCGTTGATGCGAGGCCTGTTCTGGATGCTCTTGGCCCGGTTTGCATATCGCAGTGTACTTAGGCTTTCCTCATAATTGTTGTCTGCGGGCGAAAGACAGGCGATCATCAGGGTGCGGGTGTTTCCTCCCAAAGAGTCCTGCAGCAGCCTGGTCAGCTTGGAGTCTCTGTAGGGGATGTATCTGGAGCGTCCATCTACCAGGGCGGAGATGACGTTTCCCAGGGCCGAGAGGGAAAGATTGATCTTTGTGGCTTCACGGAGTCGCTCGCCGGTAGCACCAGTTTTAGACTGACGCTCACTTCCTGCCAGGTCCACAAGGTTGAGTTTTCCTGCCCGTAGATGGTCCTGGCCAGATGAATCTGAGAATTTGAGTTGACGCAGGAAACGCAAGCAACATTCAACACTGTTACAAAGCCTTATTATTTACCTTTATTAACCTGGTATGTTTTATTCAATGGTTTGAAAACTACATGCAAGCACAGGCAGAATATGCAAACTATTAACAAGGAGATTCATATACTATCAAATTTAAAGATATAGCACCACAGAACAAAAATAACTGATGGTAAAGTGCTGATGACATTAGGAGATATAAGAGGATCACATTCAAAAGTAGAATATCAGCACAGACTGAACAGATATAGTGAAGGCAAAGATATTATAAGTTCACCAGTGCTGCAGATCTCCAGGTGGATGGTGAAGATTGAGTGGGAGCGTGAGGAGTCTTTGTTCATCAGCGTGTAGCCCACTGCCCGGTTCCTCCAGCCTTTCTCTATGATTCTTTCACACTCTCCCACACTGTGCACAGTGTGCATGGAAAGGTCCCGTACATATACCCCACGCTCTGGGTGCTCTTTCAGCTAGGCATTCATCAGCCACACAAAGCACACACATACGCACAATCAGCTAGTCTGTCACCCTGTTACAACACCTTGACCTTTAAGGAATCAACTGTGCGTTTAAATCACCATGGCAACAGGTACAGTACTGTGCAAAAAACAGCACACTCACCTTGCTGTACTAACCAAAGAACAATAATCCATTTGGCTTCTTCTGATACAGTGTAGCCTGTTTAGTTTATCTAAAAAGCAGGGACTCACCTCCAATCTCTGCTTGGCATCGCTTCCCAAAAGATCTCGGATTTCTTCATTGTAAATCTCCAAGTAGGAGGCCCTCACCAGGAATTTCGTATTTTCTGCACACTAGCTTGCACACACGAGATAAAACATATAATTATTCTATCAGTGCCGAGACAAGCCGAGACAAAAACTAAGAGCATAATATTACGTATGCATGTTGCAAGCTACAAGATCACTGTGGTCAACAGACATACCTGAATGCTCTCAAAGATGTGTTCAAAGGCCCGCGGGATGACACCCTTCTGGGTTGCAGGTTCAGACACCCCTTGCATGGTGAAAGACTTTCCACTTCCAGTTTGTCCATAGGCAAAAATTGTCCCATTGTATCCCTCAGTCACACCCTGTAAAAGTGACATTTTTTATTTAATTTAATTTTGAGGTGAGCAAAGGGTATTCACAATGACGTCTGCATTCATTAGGAATTAGATATAGGCTACTGATGTTGGGCTGAAGGTGTCCAGTGACAAGCGTGCTTCTTTTATAGAGCCCAGCTCTGCAGGCTGGTAATAAAATCAAGCTTACCTCAACCAAAGGATAAGGATAAGGATCTCGTTGTACATCTGCTCAGTTGTTTGATCAATATAGTAGGTCCCATCAAAGGTGAACTGTTTAGGTGGCTCATCCACTGCACCTGGCTTTTCTATGAAGCACTGGCAGCGCTGCAGGTCCATGGACAGCACCATCTTACAGCTGAGCGCCTTCTCCCTGTCATTCAGGGGCCTGCACCTGACCACCACCTTCACCGACTCTGACCCCATGTCTCAATAATCACTACCGAGCAGCTGGCAGGTGTAAGAAATAAAACTAATGTAAAATACAAAGCCGCTCCGGTCTCCTTCGCAAACACTCAACGTTTACTTAGAAGTACGACAGCAGGACCTCGATGGCTAACATCACCTTAATAACAAGATGACAGCAGCAGTTGACTAACGGGCCACATCCCCAGTGAGGTTCAGTAAGAAGCGATCAGCAGAAATATCTCCAGGTACAGTGTGGACGGATCTCGTCAGGTATCGCTTCAGGTCCTGTCCCATTCTGTTCCTCTCCCCGAGGCGTTTGAGGTTGCTTAGCAACCATAAGTAACCATTGAGGAATGTAACAGGCCCAGACCCGCGGCCATTTCCGTGAGGACGGAGTGAGGTCAAAGGGCGAAAAACAGTCAACTTTATGCTTCATGTGTTACTGTCAAGAAACTAAAAGTGAAAACGTATTTTAAATAAAGCAGACAGACGTTTAAAGAGAAAAGAAAGACTACAAATGCACGTTATGTTCAGTTGTTATTTAATGTTTTGCTAATAATCACAATCTTCTGTTGTGAAACTAATGTCGGGGGGTGCAGGTAGATGGTGTGCAAGCTATGAACAAATCAACTCTAGTCAAGACGACACAACATGATAACTACAAACCCAGAGAATGATTGAAATCATTTTGTACCATTTATACTCGACCAATGAAAACTCTGAACGGAAATGTAGTCATATTAACAGATACGACATTATCAGCTAAACAAACTGCATACAAAAATATGAGTAAAAAGGAGTAAAAGTTTTACATTTCAGTAACATTGTTACTAGACAAGGAAACAAGAAGAAAAAGTGTGGCTTTGCCATCAGGTGTAGTAATCAGTGATTAATTCCCCTTTACAGATTCAGGTTCTTAGTTTCATGTCTAAAA